GGGCATTCGGCGATAGATCTGCAATATTTCGCTGGATGGGCCAAATCGCCAGCAATTTCTACACTGTGTGGTGTAGGGATCACCTTTCGAACTTGCAACCGATGTCCTGCTATATAAACTGAGGATGGGAGTTCTCGGCTGTCAAAGTTTTAACGAGCTACATTGCTAGGGTATCGTCCCGCCCACGGGCAGGAAGAACGTAAGTGTCTACCTTGAGGATTGGGAGATCTTGGAGTTCCAGCTGTTCTAGAATGTCGGTGCCACATGTCTGGAAATTTTGTTGAACTATGGTATGGGGCAGAATGACGGTACCACTACAAGAATTGAGGGAATGATGTTTTTCAAGAGTGACAGGAACAGTATCGATATGGGAAAGACGAGAGAGTCATGGAGCCTGGGTAGCATTCTGTACGGTAATGATGCGCGTACCGCTCTTAAGGCATGAAAAGAAATATCTTTACCAACATGGCGTAGGAGTGCCTTGCCAATACTATGGTCAGAAAGATAGGCAGTAGAGGAAGTTGGTCGTAAAGTGAAGAATTTAGTCCACTGTTCAGTCTGAAACTGAGCGTGGAAAGGTAGTGAAGGACGTGTCAATCGTTTTCTGAGAAGAACGAGAAGGTGGAGAAGTATCATCAGCAGGTAATTGTCGTTGACGTTTAGGCGTGGGACCAGAGTTGGTCCGACGTGGAACGGGTCGGCGATTTGAAAATTGCCGCACCGTAGAGGGAGAGGCCGGAAGCATAGTCAGAGGAGAGCGAAGGTCCGATAAATCGAAGGAGTCAGTCGAGGCCTCAGTACCTGAAGCGGGTGAGGAAACAGCACCGGCAATAGGTACAGAGGCATGAGGAATGTCTGAAGAGTGGTCCAAAGACGAGGCGGGGTCAGAACGGGGTGCGGTATCAAGAAGGGGCCCGGGGGTACCAGGTTCATGGACTAGGGCTGCCATGGTTAGGTTACTTCTTTCTTTTTGTTTTTAAGAAAAAAAAAAAAAAGAAAAGAAAAGAAAATAAAAAATAAAAAAAAGAAAAAAAAAAAGGGGGGACTGGGGAGGGATAGGTCCTAGGAGGAATGAAAGGGCCAGAAATCTCCCTCCGCGCCCAAGAGGACCTCAGCACCGCAAGTAGCGCAGATGCAGCATGGAACCCGTGCCATACCCTACCCATCATGCTAGTAAACTAACAATCCGGGATAGCAACCTCACATCTGCCGAACTACCTCGGTGGACAAAAGAGAGGGCGGCCGGATATCTGCCACAAAGCATACCTCCTTCGGCCACCACCCCCGGAATCCGAAAGGTGGCTTCCAGAGATACACTCGTCGCCCGAAAGACACCCAAAGCTACTCCGGGATACCGGAGAGGGATCGGGACATCCCCAGGCGATCCAGATTTCCACGGCAACTACGCCACCGCTAAGAACCTCAACGGAATGGGATGGACCCCGGTATCCTTTCTCCTACCTAGGAACTAGCGCGCCTGTGGGAGAAATCCCAAAGGACAAAAAGAGGAAGGGCAAAAGGGAGGAGTGGGGAGGAGGAGGAGGAAAGGAAAAAGGGGAGGATGGGATAGGGGAGGGGAGATTGGGGGGTAATTAGGTTCGGTCTGAGGAAGAAGACCGATAGGTCTAATTCCTCAGACCAAGAGCCTCTTCACCATGCCAAGGAGCCCCCCTAGAAGAGGACAGTAATCATTAAATAAAGAATTCTGCCTTCAAGGAAATTTGCATAACGGGCTTCAATGAAGTTATGACATATAGGATATCACAGGTTTCTGCTATTTGTTTTAGAGGATGCCAGGGCCATGGTCAGAGGTATATTCCTGTCTCATAATCATTGAATGGCCACTGGGAAAGAAGCTCAACACTACCTGTGGGGTACATTTATTGCAAGTGTTTGGCATCAGGTAAACCATCTGGAATAAACTCAAATGACAGCTTCTAAAAACAATAGGTCACAAATTCCTCTCAACCAGGTCAAGGATGTTTTTTTGAAGGGAAGATAAAAGCTGTTGATATGCTTTGTTACTGCTCAGCATGCCTCTTCCTAGAAACAGAAGTTCCAGGAAACTTTCAAGATCAACATGGGACTAATGAGGAAAAACTATTTGGAACCAAAAAGTTTGAGTTAACAAGGTATTGTTGTATTTAAATTACTCAAGTACTTCACAATTATTGAATACTTTATTTCCTTGCACACATACTGTACAGTAACCAAGATATTAAATCATACTTTTAATTCACTATTAATATTTTAATAAAGCTTACAGACTTCATGAAGAAGATTTTTGCATATATATACTAATCATAGTTAGCAAATAATTCAAATAACAGACAAATTTATAAAAGAAATTACACATCTCATTCATAATACTGTACATCAGTGTATTAATTTTTGCAATCATATACAATTACATGATTTAAATAAACATATTGTACAAAACTACTTTATTGTTAAGATAAAAATTAATACTGCACTTATATAGCATAAAATGATCATCTGTAAGCAATGATTTCTATCTTTGACACCTTGATTCTTCTGGGAGTTATCACATGCAGAATTTCTCTTACGACATTTTGGAGACTATCAAGCATCAAAAACTTGAAAAATAAACACTAAATATGTGTACCATAGTACACCTAACATGTGCAGCAATGAATGATACATACAAGTTTAGCACTTTTCTCTGAATATAGTAATGGTACTCCACATGTGTGTGACAATTAGGAGAGTGAAGAGACTAATGCTGACTTGCAATGAGAAACAAGGAAACTGCAGAAATTATATTTAGGTATGGAAGAAAGGAAGAAATATGAAAAGGCAGAAAGAGAATTAAGGAAAATAAAGTTCAAGAATCTGGAAAATAGCATTCAATACATGAGCAACAAGGATGTAGAAAGTGATGCAGATCACCAGGTGAACCTGCATTCTGAGAGTAATCAATGAAAATAGGTACCAATTGCACTTTACTCAGGAGAGCTATTTTTATGGATGACAGGCGAATTATAATCATGATGTCTATCTGCTGCATGAATAGCATAAACTACTAGTATAGTAGAAGCTTTCTGGAAGAATTAAGGAATTTTACTTGTATTAATTCACTACATTTTCAGTTACTTATATTGCATTTAATCAATAAGCTAATGCATTATCACAATAACACAACTGATACAGTTGGTTTTAAAAATCTCATATATACAGACAAGTAACTTGACCAAAGGAATAATGAAGCAGAAATTATCACGATAAAAGTTTTGGACAGACTGTAGTACTTCAATAACAATATTATTATTTTTCACCCTTAACCTTTTCAGAGTCCAGAGGCCAAATCTCAGAGTGACAGCCAGGGTCCAAAAATTTTCAAAAATTTTTTTTGCTATTTTTTCTTATGAAATGGTAGAGAATCTTTTTCTGAAGGTAATAAAGCAAAAAGTATGAAAATTGATGGAAAACTGGCAATATTATGCTTCGCGAATTTTGATGCTTCAGCGATATTTACTCTTTGGCGATTTTGCCAACTAAGACTCCCATTTTAGGACAATTACATTATTCCAGTTGAACAAATTCTTAGCTATTTCGCTAGTATTACTTCTATTTTACCAATTGAGCACAAGAAATCGCCCAGTCAACTGTTTCAACTACCCAATAAAGTGATCAGAAATTGGTAATTTGGCCAATTTAACACACAGTTCAAAATATTCCAACTTCAAAATAGGATCCAGAATAATGCAGGCATTCCTGGCACTAAACTAACACTTCCTCTGTTCATTAGTTATGTTTTCAGGCTTTACAAATGAATTCCATTTTGATTTTTTATTCACATAATGAATTATTATTCATGCCACAAAAAAAAAAAAATTATTTGTGAACGCATATTAGACCCACCAGTTGATGTGTATTAGACTCATGACGACACTGGTTTACTCTTGAACATCAGCAAAAATTGAACATTTCCACTACTTTGATCTCAGTTCTGTACTACATCACTCAAAATCATCTCTATTTCTGTAATATATCTTCCATTCTATCAAATTAGACCAAGAATTTAGTGCACTTTTTGAGAATATAATAAAAGTGCATGTTATGAATATGGTCTGAATAATAATAATAACCCTATGAGGGTCGGTCACGTACTAGTACGTCATTGCAGCCAGGGTCGGTCACATACTTGTACCCGTAAATTCTAGCGCCTTCAAATCTAGCAGGAGAAAGCTGGTAGGCCCACATGTGAGAGAATGGGTCTGTGTGGTCAGTGTGTGCAGATGGAAAAAATTCGGGCACCCAATGGAGCATTGTGGAAATGCCATTTTAGTTCACCTTGTCCACCATGCCTCACGGTAAGAAGCTCCTCACTTCTCAGCGAACTGGGGGACACTTGTTCCCAGGTGACAGTTCAAATACGGATGGAAGTGTCAGTGAAGATGATTTCCAGGGTTTTGAGGAGTTTGTGACAACTGTGGCTGAGATGTATCTTTTGTTTGCCACAATAATGCTTATGTTGCATGTGTATAAGAACGGTGTCAAACCATACTGGTCAACAGACAGCCTTGTTGCAACCCCAGCTTTCAGTGATATAATACCAGTGAACTGATTTGTGCTACTGTTATGTATGCTACACTTCTCAGACAAAACCAGGCCTGACAGAAAAGACAGGTTACATAAGATTAGAAATGTGTTTATGTATCTGAAACAGAAATTCAGTATGTATTTTTATCCCTTCAGGAAGCTTGTTATTGATGAGTCTTTGATTTTGTTCAAAGGCAGACTGTCATTCAAACAGTATATACCAAGCAAGAGGAAATGCTTTGGTATAAAGTTATTTGTACTGCGTGATTGCTACAGTGGTCTTGTATTGGATATTACTGTGTACACTGAAAGTAATACATTGCAAGATACCAGGAAGTTATTGGGTATCTCTGGTGATGTGGTTAGAACAATGATGGAACCACATCTTAGTAAGGGGTATATATTATATACTGATAACTGGTACACAAGCCCCTCACTCGGTGATTTTTTGCGAGTGAATATGATAGATGTGTGTGGCACAGTGAGTAGAAATTGTAAACATATGCCCAGGTTCGATGCTGGCACTCGTAGAGACGAGGTGCAGGCGTTTGCTGCCAATGACATCATGGCATTTCGGTGGCATGGCAAACTAGATGTCACACTGTTGTCATCAGTTCACCGAAACGAAATGACGGACACTGGCAGGCAGCAGAGAGACCAATGAACCCATTCTAAAACCTGCAGCTGTGATGGACTACACTCTCAATATGCGCTCAGTGGACAAATGTGATATGCAAATTGGGTGTGTTGATTGTGTTCCCAAGAGTTATAAGTGGTACATAAAACTTTTTTCATCTTGTGGACATTTCCATGCTGAATGCTTATAATGTGTACAAGTTGAAGACCAGAAATAAACAACCACATGGTCAATTTTGTTTGTCTGTCATCAGACAAATATTATTCAAGTACCAAATAACAACACCTGCGAACTGATCATCAACTACCCTCTCGTCTGAGGCATGGTGATAACTTCCTAATACAACTGCCTGCTACTGCTTTGAAGAAAAAGGCTCAGAAGAGGTGTTTTGTCTGTGCACATACAAAAAAAAAACTCCCACAAAAATGCAGAGGCACTCGTTTTATGTGTGAGGAGTGTGAAACACCACTGTGCATGACACCGTGTTTCAAAGGGTTCCACAGGCTGCAGAACTTCTAGAAATATGTCTAGTGACTCTTATATGTGTATATAAAATTTAAAAAATAGTAATAAACAACATTTTACATTGTTCGTTTGTGTAAACATGTTTTGTAAACAATATAATGACAACAGTGGTTTGTCCATTTATTGTGTAGTATAGAAAAAGTAAATACGTATATACAAAATAGTGCTCATATTGGTCTCACGGACCATAAAATTTACTTGAAAAGAAAAAAATATTAAAAATAATAGAAAAAAGTAGAAAAAACTAAATAAATGATTACCGGGTGACCGGCAGTCAGTGATGTTGCCATATGCAGTTCAATTTCTGCCAACTCACGCCCCCATATCTCGGCAAGTAGTGAGGGCAAAAAAAAAAAATTTTTTTAGCCTAAAATGTTTAGAAAAAAAAAAAACTTTTTTTTTTTTTCAAATATTTTTCGACCCTGAGAACAAGTCTGGGAGAGGGCCAGTCGACCCTGAAAGGGTTAACATAGCAATATACCATCATAGTGATATTATTAAAAAAAGGGGTCACACTATACAACAGTACTGATGGAAGGATAATCCAAATTAGATTATATAATCAATACATCACATTTTCTCATCAAGAGACTATTTTCGAATATACTGAGCAAACTTATGCAGCTGTTCCACTACTACAGCTACCACAGCATTAACTGAATCATCAATAAGGCCTTGCATGTAGCTGACTGCCTCTTCATCACTCAAGTCTAGTCGAAACTTGTCCTCTACTTTTTTCACAGTTTTATCAGGCTCTAGTGCAATGTCTGGCACATTTGCATCCACCATAAGAGAGAACAGATTGAGTATTAAGTTTGCATGACGACGGAGTTGATGAAAAGCAGTATAACAAAGCTTACGAAATTCATGATAATGTTCTGACTGTGCTCCTCCCATACCTTCAACCATCTCTTTGCTTAGTTTCATAGGGGGTGGGAGTGGCTTAGGGTCCCTTCCAAGAATGTATCCAAAATCAATATGAAAGAGGTTACCATTTCTTGTTAAAAGTAAATTATCCAAGTGTCGATCACCGATTCCAAGTAAATATGTGATAACACAATAGCCAGCACAAGACTTTATGTAAGTGTCCATTACTTCTGCAGCAATACCATAGGGACCCGTTTCTGAGGGAGCATGTTTTCGAAAGAAGCTCTGGATTCCTCCTTCGGTGCGTAATACCTTAAAGAAAAAGACGTTATTTAAAGAATTCTCATAATACAGGAGAATAAAGAGTTACATTTCACACTATCCCACAATCAGGAGAGGAAACTTCTAAGAGCTTTTCAGTGTTACAGAATGAAATATTTAACATATCCTTTCCAAATTGTGAATTTCTCTGGGATGTGCCTGTAGAGGTTTCTAGATACAAATTTTTTCTCTTAAAACAATTTATGAATGAACCAACTAGAAGGTTCTGGCAAACAAGGAAATTCTGATAAGTTTAAGGGTGGGCCACCAAATGACCCTAATAAGCATTTAATATTAATACAGTACTATATTGTGAAAGAATAATAATAATTTTTTGTAACACATCGGCCATTTCCCACCGAAGCATGGTGACTCAAAAACAAAAACCCATAAAGAAAAAACTTTCATCATCATTCAACACTTTCACAATCTTTCATACATAATCACTGTCTTTGCACAGGCGCCCAGATACGACAGTTTAGATAACAATATTATTAATAAAAATCACAGTATAACTAATACCCAAAGATAATTATTAATTACATTAATGTTATATAAAACCAACAAGCTGATGACTAAGACACATGCAACACCCGGGTATCTATTGAGAAGACATTTTGTTTGCACAGCACATTTGTTTTTTTCAATCTAATGTGGAGGCAACTATTATACTGGAGACAGTCGAAGTGGAAAGGTAATTCTAAGATGTTAAATCCCTTAGCCTTGACAGGTGTTTGGTCCCTAAACAAGATAGGTTTTTTTCCTCAGTCATGATACGGTAGATGTTTAGTTTCTTAGCCATGATACAGTAGGTGTTTAGTCCCTTAGCCATGATACAGTAAGTGTTTAGTCCCTTAGCCATGATTTAAGGTGTTCAGTCACTTCCCCTTGATGTATCGAAAGCAGACACACGATTATACAGATTTACAGTATGTAGTGGAGACAGCAAAGTGGCTATGTAGGAAAAACACAGCAAAAGTGCAACAACTGAAGACACCATTACTGGTGGGTGGGACCTACTAATGGAAATGTGTAATTGGGCCAGTGGTTAGCCACAGAGTTGTGGAAGAAGTCCCCTGTACCAAGATGCCATGGCAATGCTGTGTTAGACATGTATCATTACAGTATATTACTGATATACAGCACCAACAAGTTAATAGATATGATACATGATGAATAAGATACATGTGCTACACCTGGGTATCTTTACTGATGAGACCTTCCACCTCCTGAGCATTTTTTCAATCTAATATAAAAGTCACTATTATACTATTAACATAATGATACTTACATGGCACAGTAACACTATGAAATCTTAAAACAGAGGACTAATTCTACAACTTTACTGCCACTGGTCCAACTCATGGCTGTGATACACTTCCGCTAGTGAGTCCTGTCTACCAGTGAGACACTCTTCAACCGAGGCACTTCTCTGTCTCCAGTATAGGTCTCTAACCTTATGCCTCTACTTTAGGTAGATCAAGCCTAAGAGACCTAACTAACCAGTAAACTGTCACACCCCTTGCCTTGGCAGATAGGTGTCAGATACGCCTGGTGCCGTAAGTCTCAGGTCTTTTGTTCTTAATGGCGTCAGGTCTTAACACATGTGGTGTATGCCTCATGGAGGCATGGGTGCTTTAAGGACCACATAAGCTCAAGGAAACAGAGAGGGAAGAGAGATTGGGGCAGAGTTGGTGGCTGTGTTGGGCTGGTGAGCAGGAGCCCTGGACAGCCGAGTAGGTCGAGGGCCATGCAGGGCGAATCCTGGGTCAGCTGGTTGGTGAATTAAGAGCGAGTACAAGTCTGTGTTACTGATAACATCTCCACCTCCCACTGGTAATAAGTCTCATAGGTCGATTATTATTTTTTTTTTTTAAAAGTCGGCCGTCTCCCACCGAGGCAGGGTGACCCAAAAAGAAAGAAAATCCCCAAAAAGAAAATGCTTTCATCATCATTCAACTCTTTCACCTCACTCACACATAATCACTGTTTTTGAAGAGGTGCTGAGAACACAACAGCTTAGAAGTATATACGTATAAAGATACACAACATACCCCTCCGAACTGTCAATATCCTGAACCCCTCCTTTAGAGTGCAGGCATTGTACTTCCCATTTCCAGGGCTCAAGTCTGGCTATATAAAAATAACCAGTTTCCCTGAATCCCTTCACTAAATATTACCCTGCTCACACTCCAACAGATCGTCAGGTCCCAAATGCCATTCATCTCCATTCACTCCTATCGAACACACTCACGCACACCTGCTGGAAGTCCAAGCCCCTCGCCCACAAAACCTCCCTTACCCCTACCTTCCAACCTTTTCGAGGACGACCCCTACCCCGCCTTCCTTCCCCTACAGATTTAAATGCTCTCCATGTCATTCTACTTTGATCCATTCTCTCTAAATGACCAAACCACCTCAACCCCTCTTCAGCCCTCTAATACTTTTATTAACTCCACACCTTCTCCTAATTTCCACACTCCGAATTTTCTGCATAATATTTACACCACACATTGCCCTAAGACAGGACATCTCCACTGCCTCCAACCACCTCCTCGCTGCTGCATTCACAACCCAAGCTTCACACCCATATAAGTGTTGGTACTACTATACTTTCATACATTCCCTTCTTTGCCTCCATAGATAATGTTTTGTCTCCACATATACCTCAATGCACCACTCAACTTTTTTCCCTCATCAATTCTATGATTAACCTCATCCTTCATAAATCCATCCACCGACACGTCAACTCCCAAGTATCTGATAACATTCACTTCTTCCATACTCCTCCTCCCCAATTTGATATCCAATTTTTCTTTATCTAAATCATTTGATACCCTCATCACCTTACTCTTTTCTATGCTCACTTTCAACTTTCTACCTTTACACACACTCCCAAACTTGTCCACTAACCTTTGCAATTTTTCTTTAGAATGTCCCATAAGCACAGTATCATCAGCAAAATGCAACTGTGTCAATTCCCATTTTGTATTTGATTCCCCATAATTTAATCCCACCCCACTCCCGAACACCCTAGCATTTACTTCTTTTACAACCCCATCTATAAATATATTAAACAACCATGGTGACATTACACATCACTGTCTAAGACCTACTTTTACTGGGAAGTAGTCTCCCTCTCTTCTACACACCCTAACCTAAGCCTCACTATCCTAATAAAAACTCTTTACAGCATTTAGTAACTTACCACCTATTCCACATACTTGCAACATCTGCCACATTGCTCCTATATCCACTCTATCATATGCCTTTTCTAAATCCATAAATGCAATAAAAACTTCCCTACCTTTATCTAAATACTATTCACATATATGCTTCATTGTAAACACTTGATCTACACATCCCCTACCCACTCTAAAACCTCCTTGCTCATATGCAATCCTACATTCTGTCTTACCTCTAATTCTTTCAATTATAACCCTACCGTACACTTTTCCTGGTATACTCAGTAAACTTATTCCTCTATAATTTTTACAGTCTCTTTTGTCCCCTTTCCCTTTATATAAAGGGACTATACATACTCTCTGCCAATCTCTGGGTACCTTCCCCTCTTTCATACATTTATTAACCCTTTGAGGGTTTTGGTCGTACTAGTACGTCTTACGCGTAGGGGTTTTTGACGTACTAGTACTCATAAATTCTAGCGGCCTCAAATCTAGTGGGAGAAAGCTGGTAGGCCTTCATATGAAAGAATGGGTCTATGTGGTCAGTGTGCACAGTCTAAAAAAAATCCTGCAGCACACAGTGCATAATGAGAAAAAAAAAAACTTTGACCATTTTTTTTTAATAAATCAGCGACTTTGCAGTGTATTTTCGTATGGTATTTATTGTTGTATTCTAGTTTTCTTGGTCTCATTTTATAGAATGGAAGACATATTACAGAAATTGAGATGATTTTGACTGGTTTTACAATGAAAGGTGCCTTGAAATTGAGCTCAAAGTAGCAGAAATGTTCGATTTTTACCAAACTTCAAAAGTAAACAAATCGTGCCAAGCGTGCAATACACGTCAACTGGTGAGTCTAATATTCTTTCACACGTGCACCAATAATATTTATACCATTTTTTACACTAATGCAGTAGTCTGCATAACAGTAAATCTTATATTTTTTGTGAGAATAAAAATTCAAAGTGGAAAGCAAAAGAATATAAGAGGGGCCTTGAGACGTGACTAATGACTAGAGGAAATGTCATTTTAGTGCCAGGAATGTCTTTCTTGTTTATTCTGGACCCTATTCGGAAATTGGCATCTTTTGAAATTTGTGTGAAATTGGCAAAATTGCTAAATTCTGACCACTGTACTGGATAGTTGAATTTATAAATGGTGGTTTCTTGCACCCATTCGATAGAAAAAATGGAGTTCTAGCGAAATTCATGTTTTTTGTCGACTAGTACAGTGAAATTGGCCGAAAATGGGGCTCAAAGTGGGCAAAATCGCCGATGCGTAAACATCGCCGAGACCGCTAACTTTGCGAGAGCATAATTCCGTAAGTTTTCTATCAAATTTCAAACTTTTGGTGTCTTTATGATCAGGAAAAGATTCTCTATCTTTTCATAAGAGAAAATAATTTTTTTTTTTTAAATTTGGCCGACCCTGAGAACGAGTTTCGGAGAGGGCCTGTCGACCCTCAAAGGGTTAAACAAAAATACCAACCACTCCAACACTATATCCCCCCCTGCTTTTAACATTTCTGTCATGATCCTGCCAGTTCCAGCTGCTTTACCCCCTTTCATTCTACGTAATGCCTCACGCACCTCCCCCACACTCACATCCTCTTCTTCTTCACTCCTAAAGTGCATGAAATTACCGCCTCCCTTTCTTCGTCGACATTTAAATATTCCTCAAAATATTCTCGCTATCTACCCAAAACCTCCATCTCCCCATCTACTAACTCCCCTACTCTGTTTTTACCTGGCAAATCCATTTGTTCCCTAGGCTTTCTTAACTTGTTTAACTCACTCCAAATTTTTTTCTTACTATCATTAAAATTTATTGACAGTGCCTCTCCCACTCTATCA